ATATCCCTCTATGGAACATTTAGAACAGATACAAAATGTACGATTAATTTGCGATAAGCTTTTAATCGACTGACAGCCCTAGTTATTTTCAACCAAATATCTCTCAGAGGGGCGTGGGGAGTGGCTCCTTATTTTGATCTATAGTAAAAGACAGTGAATCAGCACTTTTGAAACAGGGCTGAAACAGAGGGGTTTATGGGATGCGACAATGATCTGTTTGGTATTTGGAGCCAAACACTTCAGAGACATCTTTTGTATGCAGTATATCAAAGACCTATAATATATTGATTAAAAACAGTATAATAGGGGACCTTTAAGTTCAGCACAAGAATGGACTGAGCTGAATAGTAAGCAGAACACAAATGAAAGGATTTGTATTATAGTGCATTATTCTGCTTCTGTCTGTCACCCTTGGAGATTTGACGCAGGAAGTTTAATTATGGTATCTAGGGGGATCAACTTTCTCCTCATCACAGCTGAGGAGCATGACCTACAGCTGGGCCTATCAATGAAGTGTGTTTGTGCGTTCCACAGAATGCACCACAAAATGTCAATAATAACATATCCTCACAACTACAGTGTAAACAGACACACCATGGATCTTAATTATGATCTATAATCCCTGTCAAATGGCAATCCCCTCTGGCGTGTTGCACCGTTGACAGAGAGACAGCAGGCCACGACAGAGAGGCCAGGCTGGACAGTGATGTGCCCTCGTGAGACACAGAACTAATGACTGCATTCAGAGTCCTTTGTGTGTGTGTGACATTAGCCAGTGTCTCTCTTGAGTGTGTGTATGAGCCGTGCCAAAACAGTCTAGCAAATCAAAACCACAACACATGCTTAAGGATTATCACTTTGCTGCTAACACGAAGAGAGTGTGAAAAGAGTCAGAGACAGGGAGTGCGTAATGTCGAACTGACCATTAGGCCCATGCACTTATATGTGTGTTAATGTGTCTGTTAAATTCCCTTTCTGTTTGTTTCTATGTGTTTTTTTTGTCTGTTGTGTGTGTTTTGTGTGCATCTCTGCAAAGCAACCTCACTGCCAGATGACTGCTGCAAGGCAGAAATGACCGGGCTTCTCATTCCTGTTTCAGTGCCAGGCTTGAAAAGAACAACTCTGCGCTAAACTCAGTACCCAGGAGCAAATATATGCACACACAAACACACATCTAATCAACTCGAAACGCATTGGGGGCTGCCTTGAGAAACTGTAAGACTCACATCAAACAGAACAAAAACTAATAATGTCTTATGATCCTATCGTCTTGCCTAGGCCAATAGTGAAATAAATAAGTAAACACTGATATAAATATGCATACAAACAGGGCATTGTATATTCAGTTAGAAGAACTGAATAAACTTGGCGGAACAATTCAAAAATAGTTGAGAGGCGTGTAATCACTGACCACACATCTGCTATAAATGATAGGACAAACAGATACTAAATAAATAAATATGGGAAGAAATTAGGGAAAAAGTAAATACTGGTGGTTTAAGTATTGAGATAAGTGAAAGGATGGTGAACCAAAGGTGCCCCTCTTGTAAATGCTAGCCTGAGGCGGCTCTCTTTACAAAGTGGCCTGCAGCACTCAACAGCTGCCACCGCTGAACTTCCTGGCAAAGACAATATGGATGCATAGATGATCTTATCTAACCTGCCAAAAGCAATACCCGCAAAGGATTTGAATTGTTCTTCCAGCAAGAATTGCAAGTAAATCATTATTTCATGTGACAGCTGATTCCCTTCAGGTAAAACATTTCAGTTCGGAACTTCGCATTCAGGTAAAAGAGACACACTTGAAGTAAAAGCTGGTGTTGATGACAGCGTGTGGGATTAAACATAATGTAACAGTGAACAAGGCAATTACATGGCTTCCACTCTCAGAAGTTTCTCCCTAAACTCGACCTTACAAACACGCTCAATGAAATATTCAAAGTCCAAAGGGAGTGAACTCGTAATAAAAACTGTCAAACCCAGTGAGGTAATCAGAAATAACGGAGGCAGAGAAAGAAAACATAAAAAAGGGGATGATCTTTTACTTTTCCCCCGTGGAGCTCCCAATTTAAGCTGAGGCCACGCTGTATCTGAGACGAGATGAGATGGAATCTCGCTGCCGTTCATCAGGGACTCGGAGTCATTACCATCAACTTGGATTTGGAATAAAACATTTGCGACGGCAGACCAGGGGAACAAAACCGCAAGGATTCAGCGGCTCAATTGAAATGCTGTGTGCAATTAACTTTATAATCTGTTTACAAATTAGGTCTACCCTGCTGCAATCTCTGGAGTGTGTGGGTGTGTATTTGAATGCAGGGGGAGTGTGTTTGTGTACTCAACATGAATACATTCTCACTTTGGGGTGAGGACACCTTTATTAAAAAATTAAGGTTTATAATCCATATGGAAACTGGATGTAAATTGTTATAAATGACAAGAATGTACATTAGCTGTGGAAATGAGAGCGCTACACAAAATGTGTGTTTGTGAGATTAATGTGTGCAGATCATTATGTTATTAGAAAGCAGAGAAAAAGCAAGACGGATGAAAAAGAAAAGGTAGAAAGGGAGTGTTGTGTAAGTTTGAAAATGGGGCATCTTTCCAGCATTAAATGATTTATTGAAATGAGCAAAAATAGTTTAGCATCTGAGAAAAGACAGACTAAAAGCATTTGCCAACACATTAGAGAAAAGATGGGTGTAATTACGCAGTAGTGTCCTCCCTCTGAATTGTTTTAAGTAGATCTAATATCACGCAGCCTGTGATGGCCAGGGAGTGATGTGATTACGCTCATCTGAAATATGTGTGTGCATGCAGGCGTTAAAAGTCCAACATGGTTTTGTCTCGAGAGAACTCACCCTTACTCCCCCCCCCCCAAAAAAACACGCGTCTGTTCTCTTTCTCCACCCAGTCTGTCCATTGTCAGTTTGTGTTCATTTAAACACTTTAGATAATATACTTTCTTCACAGCTGAGCACAGAGCTCGTCCGACATTTGAAATGGCTTACAATTGAACCAGAAAGTAAATAGGGTTGAACTCAATGCTATAGTTGAGTGAAGAAAACATGTTACTGCAGTACACTGCCTAACACAATTTAAAGTGTTGTTAATGCATCCATTTTGTATGTCTTATTGGTTTTTCTCCCGTCTGCCTTGCTGCTTAGGTCTGCTTTAGTTTCTTGTTGTATTCCCTCTCCTCAGTGCAGAGCTAAGCTATAAACATCACAGCAGAGTAGCCAGCATTGCTATCACAGCAACATGCCATTGTTCTGCAGTGTCAAATGAATGCTTTTATTTTAGAATGGGGCTTTGGATGCTGTGTGCTCCCTCCTGTGGAAAACTGCTGATTATATCTGCATGCAGAAGTGATGCTGGTTGGATAACACTTCCCTCTGTTCACCGCACTTTACATTCTGATGGGATTTACTTTAAAGATTTGATTGGTGTTGATGGTTCCCATAGCCTTTGTTATTAGACCGTTATTGGCATTGACAGTCACCTGACAACTTCACAGTCCAATTCAGTTCCAGCTGGTTTTTTTTACGTTTAAATAACGCTTCAGAGCCAAAAAGAAAAACATTAGATGGCACATTTAATTGTTTGTCCTGGAGCATCGGATGTGGTGTTACGTGAACGCACATATGAAATTAGAAAGGATATTTGAGAGAGGCGGTAAGCCCTGGAGGTTTTTAGAAAATGAAAAATAAAACAACATTATACAAGATCCCACCATGGGGAAAGAATACATTTTTTCCTTCATTTTCAGAATCGATGGTGTATTGTGAGTCACAATTGTGACATATGATAACAAATCTAATTTAACTATGCATAAGAAATGTGATCCTCTTTATGTCCCCGACACAGCAGCTCCAGGCTGAATTAAAAGCACAGCTAACGTCATTTGTTTTTTGAGAGCTTCTGAACTGAGAACTTTTAAGTTACATAACAGACAAATGTAAATAACAATTAGTAATAATTACATTTATAAAAGCAGGGCGATGTGTCCAGATATAGACTAAGATATGAGCTATTCACCCGTGTCTACCGTAATCACACTCAAGGGACACAACTGGTAGTTTTTTTATATGACGAACAAAAGAAAAATAAATGAAAAAGAAAGCCACAACATCAACAGAATCTCAAGGTTCAAGGCCTTGAAGCCTTGAACCTTGAGAATCTCAGATTAGCCTGCAGGCAGTAAAACTTCAGTGGTATCCCAGATAAGAGTCGGACTGAAGTCCAAGTCTGGCTCCTTTGAAGATAGGCCAGAAAGCTTGTCTGAGATATATGACAGGCAGAAGTGAGAGATGACACATGCTCCATCACGTAAGATATGAATGGGGGAAATGATGAAAAATGACCCCTAAATACCTCAGAATGCCCATCATTTTTTTTACTGAGGGGCACAAAATGTCCCAGAAATTTAGAATTTGTTTAATGCATAATTCAGTGCCATACACTGTATGCAGTCATTACTATCCCCCCCTAAATGTTTTAAATAACCCCATATTTTTGACAGTGGGGCAAAATGTTCCTCCTTTTTTTGAATATTAGAAAGTAACCGGCATGTAACAGACGAGATGGACTGTAGAAACATTATGAGACAAAAGTGTAGAGAGTGTTGCCTGCACCACACTAAGTGTCACTATGTAGTTGTACAGAGGAAGGTAGTGATTGAGCCCTAATGGAAAAACACACATAGCCACCCTGGCCTCCCCACTTAAAAGGAGGGAGGTGTGAGTATGCGTGAGTGACCACTGGCCAGATAATGATGACCCATAATGCATTATGTGGCGATGGGAGTTGGGAAATCAGACATATGGTCGTGTTGGATAGAGTGGGATGGTGAGAAAATAAATACGGGCAGAGGCATAAAGAGGAGAGAGGCACAGAGGGGATTTGAGTTGAGAGAGCATGTTTGTGTCAGAAAATGGCGATGAGGTAACGGGCGATGGTAGAAGAGAAAAGAACTAAGGGAATAGAAGGGAAAGTTTTACCATGTCAATGAGGTTCTCCTGGATCCGGTTCAGAGTGGTTCTCAGTCTGCTGCTGATAAGCCCCAGACCCGATGACTCATACTGTAAGAATACACACACACACACACAGTTAGTTTCTTCACTGTGCAGAAACACCTCCCTTCACAAGAAGATTCACTTAAGCAGAGTGTGAAAGCACGACAACATCTGCTTTCATCCCACGTAGAAGAATGCGAAATAACCTTTACTTTCTGCTTCTACTTCGGTGTTTTGCAAAAAAGGGAAATTTACTGGGAGAAACAGACATCGAAATGACACTATCACACCTGCTACAGGAGATGACAGGCGAGAGGTAAAAGGGGGGCTTAAAGAGGGAGATAGCACGGCAAACTCGACATCTAAATGCTTCTGAAATCACTTTCAGATGTGTTTGATGTCACTTGAGAAAGCAGCTCACGCACACTTTAAGAGCTTTAACTCAACCACACTGTACGTTTTTATATATATAATTCGGAAAAGCCTAAAATCACTCCAAAGATCTGCTCTTACCAAGCAGGTAGGGCCCACCACCCCGGGCGGGGCCCGCGTCTCTGCCTAAATGAGTCGGCAAAGACGGGCTGGGACAGGCTATGGATGGCGAATGGGCAGCAGGAAGGAAAAACAAGAAGCAAAATCTCAATTATAAAAAGAACACTGTGGAGGAAGTAATACAAAACATGGGGAAAGGAGGCACAAAGAAGGAAGCAAACAAAGAAACAATAATTACAATAATAACATAAGTGCGGCTTCACCGGTCACACACAATAATAGAAATAATGGATGGTATTACACACACACACCTCTGTTCTAGCATAAACTACCTATCAGCCAGGTAAGGCAACATCCCCTTGTTAATAGACTTTGTTACCAGGATATGAAGCATCCTTCTTTGAGTCCACACATTAACTTCTGACTCGTTCTGAGAGGGAGACATACCGTACTCCCTGTTCCACAATGTTCCTTGCACATCTCTCAGATGAGATACAAAGCGTGGGGATGTTTGAGAACGTCCTTGAGAAGTTCAGTTTACACATCACCTTAAGTTTTTCACAGCCAGTGAAATCGGTTGTATCATTTCTTCTGTGTTTTTCCTAGGTTGGAAACAATAACCTTTAGATGTTCCTCAGAGATAAGCCCTGGGTGACGTCCCTCAGGGTTATCTGGGCTTGTAGTGAAAACTTTTTTAACGGAAGGTTTGTGGAGTTTAAAGATGTGGGCACTTTGGAAGCAGCCGGGAGAGTAACTGGAGTGTTGCGTTATGGAAATGAATAATCAAAAACATTTTGGGCATTTGGACCCGTACTAAAGCCCCTTTAATTACTTGGTCCTTAATCTAAGGAGTTAAATAACCCTGCATTAGAGGTTTCAGTTGTAAATCCAACTTTAAACTAACCTGAGGACCAGAAGATAGTTGTCTTTTAGTTAGTCTTACTTCAGACTGTTTTACAATCTGAAGAAGAAAGAAACAAAACACCTTTGTTTAGTATTTCTTCAAATCTGCGTCACAGGAGATTGTGAAGGTGTAAACACTTTGAGTTGCTGATGTGCATGTGAGATGAGCATCACCCATTGTGAAGAACTGTCTGCGGTATTCAGGAGTCGAGAATAAAAAAAGATCTATTTCTTGCATTACTGCTGATTTTTCAGAAAAGCCATTTATTCAAGGATACAAAATATCCTTCCTACTGCATCGTTACGGTACCCAACCTCTCTTCTCTTTCTTAGCCATCATAAAGCAAAGCACAGCAGCAGCAAAGTACATTTTCTTCCATCTTAATGTTCCCTCCTTTTAACGTGTATTTCCTTGATTTTTTGTTAGAAAAGACAAATTAAATATCAACATTTCCCAATGGGGGAAACGTTATATAATTGTGAAATGTGAATCACTTTTTTAAAAAACTGTTTGTCACCCTGCTTATCTCAGTCCCCACATCAGAAAGGCTGCTTATTTATGCAGATGGCGTAGCACATAATGCATCTTTATCATATGTGTGACAGAGTAAATGGTGCCGCTTGACAGGGTTAATATACACAGATAATGGGGTATTTACCCTCTTGAATATTAATGTACCTATTACTCTTCAAGTGGAGGAGTCAAGCAGCTCCATCTTGATTCCAGCGGTGTAAAGAGAGCAAAGCCTAGGTTAAAATACCAGCATATGTGCATAGCAATTCCATGAGCGTTTTAAAGATTTATAGGGGCATTAGCATTTTACTGTAGGCATATTAATGAAATGGGTCGGCACATGATATCACATTTAATGAGGACTAGAGGTATGCTGGAGAAAGAGCAAGTTAGAGTTTCAGAAAGATGGAGACAGAGAGATACATGTGTGAGAAAATAAAAGCAGAAGGGATGAAAGGCGAGCAATGCTGTGTGAAAGGAGCAGAACATGTCAGATTTAGGATGCTGTGGGACAAAAGATGAAATAAGGAAGTGTGGAAAGGCACAAAAGGGCATTAGAGTGATACGAATACAAGCATGAAGACAAAGAGAACTCACATACTGTACACTTAACAATTGGTCAGCGGAAGACATATGAGAAAAGTGACCTTTTGACAAGTTGTCAATACATAACAAGTGTTTCACCATTCCTCATCTCCCAGTGGCACACACACTAACAGCCATAATGTTTAGTAAAGCCGCCGCTGCAGAGCGTTCATCCTCTTTATCTCTTCCACCTTTATCTCTTCCACTTCCTAGGACAGAAGTCATTTTGTTGCCATCATTACCACTTTCCCCGAGGGGGATACTGACACAAATGATGTTTTCTTTCTTTGTGAGGCACATTATAAATGACATGATAGTCTTTAGATGGAGCGGGGGAAACTGGTCTCGCACACTGTAAAGTATCGTTCAACTTAAATGTGTACTGATATTGCAAAGAGCGATGAGAACAGATGGAAACAGGGGTTATTGTCTCACTGTATATCATCTAATAAACATACAAATGCAAAAATCAATCTTTTGAAATAAATGCAAGCAATTATGTTCAAGCACCATGCAGCAGAAGTAATATTATGTAGCTGCAGGCATTGCAAGACAAAAAACTCCTGATTACTTGTGATCGCTCACATGCTCACATTATTTTATTTTTAGTAGCCCTGATGCACAACCTTGCTTGCTGTTTTGTGCACTTTTTTCGAAGAATTTGACGGAAGAGAAATGACAGGAAATGAGGGGAGAGATAGATGGGAACGAAATGCCGAACTTAAATTGTGGAGGCTGCAAACACTGATGGAAATCCTAAACCTCAAGCCCAATACAGCACTCTAATCCCTATCATAATATTAATAATCTATACCCTAATTTGCTCCTGTGGGTATTCCACAGTAATAACTGTTACATGTCTAATATGTGTAATGTGTAATTGTAAAGCGCTTAGAGTGCCTTGAAAAGCGCTCTAAATAAAAATGTAATGAATTATTATTATTTTTATTAATCATTTCCTATGTATAGCACACACAACAACAGCCTATTTCACATTTAGATTCAACAGTATACACTACAGCACATATGTCAAACTCAAGGCCCGTGGGCCAAATCAGGCCCGTGGTAGATTTAATTTCGGCCCGCAGGATAATTTCTAATTACTATTCAAATCAAGTTTTATTTATATAGCACATTTATAAACGATTTTTGGTCGAGCCAAAGTGCTGTACATATAATAAAAATAGCCTACAGTAGAGACACTTTACAGCTTGTACAATAGCACAGATTGATCTATTAGATCTAGCCCGCCGGTATATTGCACGCACACCTTCACTCAATCCTGAGGGTTTCCTCAGCTCAGAGCCTGACCCCAAACATTGATGAACTTGACCCCAAGATGAGATGCCAAGTATCTGGCTTGAACTAGCATCACAGAGCAGCAAACTGAGTTTCAATGGATGCTTCCTTCTGCACTTTTTCTCTTGCTTTCTTGTTTGGTTTTTTCTTTGAGGGAAATAGTTTTGTTGAAGCTGTTGTTGGCCTGTGGAAAAATCTAATCATAAGAAATGACTCAGGAAAAGCTGCAGATAGAGCCATAAGAAATGAATGCAACTGATTATTTAATGTTGTTTTTATAGGCAATCATTTAAGCTTAGTTAGTTCCAGGTTTAATATGTGCAATAAGTTCATTTCAATACGTTTTTCAATAAACATTGAACCAGTCCGGCCCTCGACTAGTGCCCATTTTTTTTAATTTTGGCCCACTGTGTATTTGAGTTTGACACCCTGCACTACAGCCTCGTTCTCAGAGTCAACGTGCAACAATACATCTCAACAAATGAAAACATGTGTATTATATACAACAGATGATGGCAAAGTAGGTTCTTTAGGTGAAGTATTTTTCTAGCATGCAAAGGATAAAGGACCCGAGAGTACATAACATACTCTAGTCGATGTGTGTTGAACTCAAGGTTATAACTTCTGTCTATTCTATAGTATGGTTACAGTGCAAACCATGACATTGCTCTTCAACATAAGACGTTGCATATTTATGTTATGAAAAGTACCATATGCTTTAGAAATACTGTACCATGTCATTCCGTCCGAAGAAGGTGTAAACAGCATACAGGTAGTAGTCAAAGAGCTGCGACACACAGTGGATGACATCGAAGGCGATCGGCTTCAGAATGCTCATCATCTGCATATATTTCCCTGTTTAGAGATGATACAAAATAAACAGTTATCAGACATTTAATCTTTATAAACAGATTCTGCAGTCTTATGAAGAATCAGTAGGCAACTGGATAAGATCTTGCTGACAGAAGCATTGTGGTTTCCATTTGATGTTGGCGAAGCATTGACCAGTCCCCTATAAGCAGGCTTTGGTTGAATAATAAACAGTCCATGTAGAGGGTGAAAGAGGGGCAATGCAGTGGTTGAAATGCAATCTGGGAACTCATCGGCTAAGGTCTGATGATGAGTATTTATGTACGCTTAAAAATAAACTGGCTACTGGACCCGATATTTCTAGAAGTTTGTTGGACAAGCTTTACCTTTCCTGGTTGCATCCCAGGGGGTATCACATATTGGATTTAATTTAGGTTAGTATGTACCGGTAAGTGATTTCTTTAATCCTATATCAGTTTACAATAAATTAAATGCTTTTGTTCTTAAATGCATTTTATAGAGGATTAAAGCTACAGGAAGTTAATCATGGTGGCAATACATCCTTTAGGAAAGAGCTTTAGAAGGAACACATCTCATTTGCATATGCTCTGGGGCAATGATTCAATTCAGCAGGAAGGTAATAAAAGCAATAAGTACAGAGTAACAGGGGTGTAACAAGGTTACCATTGACTCAGAACGGATGAATGGTGGGGCAAAAAGAAGAAGATATACACTCAATCTAGCTGGCTTTGCCACCGAGACCACGCTTTTTCTCTCACACTCATTTTTCACACCCTATTCTTTTGAATTCTGCACAAGGAACTCAGGGAGCAATCTAACTCAATCAGAGAAATGCACAGACTGGATTAGAAGTGATTGCTTGAAATCAAACTTCGGCTTTTCACTCAGTTTGCCACTTAAAGTGTTGCCACATAGCCAATATTACCAATTTTCTGGAGAAAAGATAAAGGAAAACAAGTATTCTTCTGTGTGTTTGGAAGTAAGTTACAGCAGATCTGTAGCAGTTATTAAATACATTCATAGAGCAGAACGTTTATTCAGCCATACAACCACACAGGAAAGACAACTGCCAGGTTTAATTCCATTTCACACAGGAAAAACACATCACGAAGGTCACATCACGTAGAAGAAAGACGTCTCTAAAAGTCACGTCACTAAGACATGTTAGCACCTCTTTGGAAACGAAAGGTCAGGGCTTGGGGTGAAAGATAACCATTGCAAGTTCAGCTCAGTCACACAGGGAACATCAGACACGTGTACCGATCACATTGAACTGTTGGTGAACAAATAGAGAGTTCAGCAGGCAAGGGAGGACGTATGCAGAGGCGGTGTCTGGTCTACTCTCAAGGAGCAGTAAGTAGTACAGTGTGTACTGTGTGTGTGTGTGTGTGTGTGTGTGTGTGTGTGTGTGTGTGTGTGTGTGTGTGTGTGTGTGTGTGTGTGTGTGTGTGTGTGTGTGTGTGTGTGTGTGTGTGTGTGTGTGTGTGTGTGTGGGCAGAACTCACCGACAAGCCGGATGACGTTGAGGGTGGTGTTTGTGAGGATCGGCGCGTTGGCCTTATTAAGGTTGTAGTCAGACCTTTTCTTGCTTCTTATGGTCTCTCTGGACGCACTGATGTGTGCAGGAAGTGGAAGTGAGGGACAAAAGTAGGACAGAGTCATGAGAAGAACAGAGACTGAGTAATACATGTTAACATCACTAATCGTCAGCAGTGAATGTCCAGGTTCAAACACCTTAATACAGGTCAGTCTTCTAATGGATCAATCAGAACCCATTACACAATGCAGGGGCCACAGAGGGACCCTGGTGGTGAAGTCTCTGAACTGTTGATCCCGGAGCACCTGACACTGCCCATCCAGCCATATTAGCCTGCAATCATTACATCGGCCTCCTAATTATTGGATGTGATCATGATGCGACTCATTCAATAATTAACCATTAGTGATTCCGCATTTAAGTGGCTATAGGCTAATGTTAGGTTAATACATGTACCTAATAGGAAATCAAACGTGGGGTGTTGAGGCAAAAATATCACGCATGTCATATCTTTGAAATAACAAGACTTAACGCGGGGCACAAACTTTACAATTCCATTAATAAGCCTTTGTACATTATATGAAAATACATTATTATTATAAAAGTGCTTCTGTAATGACAAGCTACTGAATAAGTAATGGGATTGTGGGTCAAACTCAGTGTAATACACACACAATAGTAGGTTCTTAATAATTCAGTCCACCACATACATACACATGCAGTCGTTCATAGTTAACTGAAAAAAACAGAACAAGGCAGGTTATAAAATTGAACACTCCATCATGCTGACTTTTAATCTAAGGTGTTTGCTTTGATTATATATCCCTTACTCTGATAACAAAAAGCATAACAACTAAACTTTCCTCAATTCCATTCAAATTTCTGACTCAAGTCAAAATAACTCATGTTGCTCAGTCTGCGTAGGAGCATGATTGCCTCTGATTTTTTTTTAAAAAGCAGAAATGAATCTATCAATGCTTACCAATCACGTAGGCGGAGGTGGGAAGAAAGATAATTTTTCATGGTACAAATAGCTTTGTAGCCTACTTAGCAGGGTTAGGGAAAGGGGAGATACAATTATCATGACTAAATGCATAAGAAGTAGTATAATGCTTCACATCCTTTTAGAACCACCTTTAAAAAGATCATCACGATACCATTTTATTTTGTGATGATAGTTGTTTACTTGCTTTCATAAATTGGAAAAAGCCAGGAAAGTAAAAGATGGATACCTTGATATACCACATAACTCCACACGTCATACCCTGAGCTGTATTTCTGAGTGGCGAAATAACAATGTGACCTCTGACCTCTTGAGGGGGGCATCGCCCGTCTGCTCGTCAACGTAGTCTTGCTTGAGCTCCTCAGGGACATCACTGTCGCTGTCGTAGTCTTGATACACATTCTTCTCCAGCTCGTCCGACTCGTACTTGAGAGTAGGAAAAAAGAGAAGGATCAGATGTGAGACAATGGGAACTGGGCCAGGGCAAAGAAGACATGATGAGAGTAAAGGGATTCAAAAACAAGTCAAATACCTTTACTGACATCACCTGTTGCGAAAGACAAGTGTTAAAATAAAAATATGCCATGGGAAACTGTGTCATCAAATAAAAACGGCCTACTTGAAAGCGCAGTAAAAGGGCTATGATTACATTATATAAAAGAATGATTGAAAATGAAGTATAACATCCCATCTTTTAGCTGTAATGGGTGCATAACCATGAAATTACTGGCTTGCGAATAAAAAGCAAAAAATGAATTCACATCCCAGAAGAGAGGCTGGTTAAAGCTCCCTTGAAATAAGACAATATTTTCTTTGTCCTTAACTGCAAGCTCAGGGAACACAACACAGCCATATGGGAAGGATTACAAGCTTTAGGTGGAGCCAGGACAGGGCTTCTATAAGCCTGTCATGGTAGATAGTGCAATATTGCTTTTAATGTTGAGCCTGGAAGGAAAATATATCAATATATAGAAAAAGTGGTTGATCTGTCAGGGCACCTGTGTAATTTCTTCTCCCAATTCCTGAAAATAAATACTGCTTTATTCAACACATAAGCCTTGAAAGAAAAACTGATGTTTATATTAGTCACAGGAATAGCACATCCACAGTACCAGGTTCTATTATTGGTTTCACTTTAGCAATGTTATAGATATCTGGTCGAGCCCTATATTGCTAGAAGCCTTGACAAAGATTAGGTTTGTGTTCTTCTCTCTTGAAGAAAATGAACTAGTGGGGTAAAAACACATCAGTCTGTAACAAAGAAAGGCAGAGATTCAATTTAGCTAGCTGCTTAGCAAGTAGCTAACCTGTCTAGCTAGCAGCAACCCCTACCATAATGGTCTCCAGTTGCTTACCAAAGGCTACCCAATAATTTCTACTCTTTAATGGGTATTTCATAGAGACACAAGTGCTGGTGTGTGGGATAACAAAGCCTAGAACCCTTCTTTTAAAAACAACTTAAGGGCCCTAAACTAAGCGTAGCTGCTAAGAGTAGGGGAGACCAGGGATAGTTGTAACACGGGTTGGTTGTAACACCTTCAATATCTCCAATCACAAACAAGCTAGAGTGATGAAACATGCACATGCGCAGTTAGATGGTAAGATCGCTGAGAAAAAAAAGGAGCCACATTTGAATTTCTCGCGTAAGATATCAGCAAAAGTGTGTTTCTGAGGTAAAATATTAACTAAAATGATATGATGTATTTTTTTGGATACTGTCTTGAGGAATCCAAACTAGTATTATTAGAATCACTGTTTTGTAAGCTACAAATATAACTAGCTAAATATGGGTCAAGCTAGCAATCATGCAGGAAGAGTATAAGACAGACAGGGGAGTGCCACTTGCTCTGCTGCAGGGGACCTCAAATGAAGTGCAGGAGGGCAAATCATTCAGGGAAGTGGCAAAGTCCCTGGATATATGCCATGTCACCCTGTACCGGTTCCATAAGAAGAGGCTGAGGTTGGAGAGTCAGGGATCACAAACACCCCCAAGAGTAGGCTACTGGACACCAAAGAAGGTGTTCTCAACAGAGCAGGAGATACTTTTGAGAGACTACCTGATGGAGGCAGCTGATTTGTATTATGGTCTCAGCTCAAAGGAGGTAGGTCTACATCATTAAGGTAGAATACTAGGCTATCTATACTGAACAAAAGAAAAGTAAGTGATCAAATATGTTGAGGCCTAGTGAACAGACAAGTGAAATATTTTCCAATGTATATTCATTTTAGGTGCGGAAGTTTGCCTATGAATTGGCAAAGAACTACGAATGCAACTTCCCTCAAACCTGGGCAGAGAAAGAGATGGCCGGAGCTGACTGGCTCACAACGTTTTTGAAGCGGCACCCTACCCTCTCCATACGCAGACCTCAGGCTACCAGTCTCTCACGGGCTACAAGCTTCAACCGAACAAATGTCAACAAGTTTTTTGACAACCTGTCTGCTGTCCTGACGAAGCATGGTTTTGTCACACAGGACATTTGGAATATGGACGAAACCGGAGTCACAACTGTCCAAAACCCTGGGAAGATTGTGGCCAGAAAAGGGACCAAACAAGTCGGCAGTGTGACATCTGCAGAGCGGGGCACTCTCATCACACTTGCATGTGCTGTAAATGCATTGGGGAATTCCATCCCTCCAATGATGATATTCCCCCGGAAGAAGTTTCAGCCCTTCTTCACCAGCAATGGCCCTCCTGGCTGTATTGGCACAGCAAATGGGTCTGGGTGGATGCAAGAGGAAGACTTTTTGGTCTTCCTCAAGCACTTCCAGAGCCATACCAAGAGCTCACAGGAGTCAAAAGTGCTGCTGGTTCTGGACAAACATTCCTCCCACCTTTCTGTGGAGGGGATTGATTTTTGCAGGAGCCATGGATCATCCTCTTCTCTTTCCTCCCCACCTGTTCTCACAAACTACAACCCTTAGATCGCACTGTATACGGGCCACTGAAGAAGCACATCAACAGCCGCTGTGACAACTGGATGAAGACTCATCCAGGATCCACAATGACCATTTACGATCTGCCGGGCATTGTGAAGAGTGCCCTTCTTCATGCTGCAACGCCATCAAATATCCAGGCAGGGTTCGCGTGCACTGGAATTTGGCCTTTTAATAGAGATATTTTCAGTGACATCGACTTTATTGCCATCCCAAGTCACAGACCGCCCACCACCAGAGCCTTCTACCAGTGCAGCTCCAACACCACTGTGGCATCCTCTCCTCCACTCGCAGCCTCCTCTCCTCCACTCGCAGCCTCCTCTCCTCCACTCACAGCCTCCTTTCCTCTACTCGCAGCCTCCTCCCCTGTCAGGCCATGTGTGGAGCCTGGGACATCATCCTCTGCAACGCCTTTCTCACCCATGTCCATCCGTCCACATCCAAAAGCTGGACCAAGGAAGCAGACCACAAAGGGGAGAAAAAGAAGAGAAACCTCTGTCCTCACAGACACTCCTATGAAAAATCTACTCGAGGCTGAGAAAAAAAGATCTAACGCAAAGAAGTCTAAAGCAAAGAAAAAAATCTATTTCTGCAACAAAAAAAACCCCAACAAGAAGCAGAAGATGCAGGACTCATCTGATGAAGATGAGGCCCAATACTGCATTGTGTGCCTGGAGAGCTACTCCAGGTCCAAGGAGATCTGGCTGCAGTGTTGCTCCTGTAAAGCCTGGGCACACAAGGACTGCACAGATGGAAGTGCAGGGCTCGACATTATAAATGGCCCGCTGGCCCGGAAGCACTATTTAGACACCCCGGGCCAGCATAACGTACTTTCCACTTGCCCGCTCGGGCCACTAAAAGTATTGTTTAAAAAAAATGTTTCCTGTGGTATTGGTATTTTAACTAGCAATTTTGTTAAATTGTTTCGTTTATTAACGCTACAACATAGCGTTTCGTGAGTCGCTTGTCGTTGTTGGGTGAAAAGCAAACAGCTGTTTGCTGCGGAGCGCAGCGTGAGCAGGCTCCCGTGAGCGGGAGCGCGCTCCTTCACTACAGACTATCGCGCCACCTAACCATTCGCCAAAATATTTTTAATACCAGCGGTAACCGGCCAAGCGCCGGGCAAAAAACAATATTCAAATAAAAGAAAGTCACCGGAGGAGTTAAAGGAGAGTGACAGGGAGCATGAGAAGAAGAGGGAGAGAAAGTTTCAGCTTGATCAATGGATTTGGCTTCTAGTGGTGCAGTGACGCGTCCTAAAACCCTTTTATAATCTATCGTTTAGATTTATGATTAGAAAATTATAAAAGTAGGGTAGACATGTGGAGATTATCCGGCTGAACAAAATGTGCATTTATCAAACAGGTTTGTTTTCCACAGACCTTATTTCCAGCTATTTTCCAAAACCCTGTGGAGAAATCCCATTGCTCTTTTGTCGAGGGAACCAGCAGCTTACTTCCTGGTTTTAGGATGCGTCACTGCACCACTCTATATGATGCCAATACAAACAAGGTCTTCTGTCGGCTCTGTACATCAATGCCGACCTATGCTGACAAGTAAGTGAAGAGTAGACAATATAAAGGTATTGGCTATAGGGAAATGTCCCAGCAGTTTAGGATAATGAAGGATCTAATCTAATATAGCCATTACATTTTCTAACTCCTAATGACAGGAAGGCAGAAAGTGCATTATACAAATAATAATACTCATAATAATAGCACACATTTTTTAACAATGACCACAATATCATTATTTTAATAAACCAAATATGAACAATTGAGGAAAATGAGGAAGAACTGATTGTTCAAATGTTGTAGTACAAGTAGTTGTAAGGGAAACTTCTGTAGCAATGGAGAGTCAGGACTCAGAGAGACACGGGACGAGCAGGAGTTCTGATGTCAAACACTGGCAGTTTATTGCAAGCGTCGGCCGGAGAATTTATATCACAAATCACAGCAGCAGAAAGTTCTGACTGCACCGGTGGGTTGCCATGTCAATTCTGAATCCCTTATCTTGGCAGACCTTTAATTCGCTTCACTCAGTCAACTCACATATTGGGGGAAGGTGTAGTGACCACCTGGAGGTACTGAATTACTTACTTGACTTTATGGCTCTTGTGACCGAGAGTTGACCGGTCATAAAACTCATAATGTCAGTAATAGGTGAAACTTCCCATTCCTTAAGACATATAACAGACATCGGCTTCTTCGTAAACGTCAACAGGCCGAAAGGTCAGATATCTTAAGTAAAGACAAAATGAATCCCTCACAGTAGTAATGTAGTTAGTGCATAAATTACTATTGCAAAAAATGTGTTAATTTTCTTCATTATAAGTCGATTTTTTTTGGACGAATGCTCCGGGCCAGTGGTTACAATGGTGGGGCCAGTGACAATACAATTCCACCGGCCCAGAGGGCCAGTGGCTTTTTACCCTTAATGTCTACCCCTGAAGTGCCTTTTACAGCTGCCACAACTGTGAATCTGATTAATTC